TTAAAAAATTGTAGGCCCTACTGACCCGGAAATAAAGATGTTATTCACCCGTTTTATTAATTAACTCTATAAAGTAAACTATTACCTAAACTGATTTAAATTTTAAGTTAATTCAAGAATAATAGTGAAAAAAAAACACAATTAGTAAAACGGGAAAACTACGCTTATAGTTTGGAGTACTCTATTAACAATTTTAATTTTTTGATGCTTTGATCTTTCAGATTTCAACTGATATTCTTCACGTCTATTCTTTAGACCTTACCTGAAGATAATAGAGTGAGTGTAACATTGATCAAACTATTAATATATTATTATTTATTATTATTAAATTAAGTAATAGATTAAAATTATAAATAATAACAGACATTAATAATTTGATAAATATAAATAAATAAAAATAAATGATCGTGTTTCAGAAAAATTAATATATATATATATATCGATACATCTTATCTCTAAATCTCTAAAAGTCTACATTCGCTATTCCGTCGTCGAAACCGCCTGATAATTCAGACAATGTGAAACAAACGACAGCAACTAACTTATCACTGGTAAGATAATAATTAATAATTCATAATATTACGTAAAAGTTTTTTTTTTTTTTTTTGTATCAGTTTTTATAAACATTAACTTTGTATATATTAAAATTTCAAAAGGTTGATGCAAGTATTTTAGCACTAGAGGTAAAACTTTTGTTTCTTGTATTACCATGCAGTTACACAGATGTTGAAAATCTTTTTTTTTTCAAAAATAATAAATAATTTTTTTTTCAAATTTGCATAGGCTTTACCTCATAATCAAACAAATCAAGCAACATATCATAAGAATGTTGCTGCTGCTCATGCAGAGTACCTTTCACATTTATCAGTTCCCAATTCTGATTATATGTTTAGCGATGATTATACACGGCAGGCGATAGAAAAGGTTAAGATAGTTTCATTATAATAAAATTTTGATTTATTTGGAAGATCCCGAATTTTTTTTATTCAATATGATTTAAAAAATTACCAATTCGTTCAAAATGACATATTTCTTGCATTATTTTAAACTAAACAAAATATTTATCTTAATTTGTATATTAGCAGATCAGTGCATCATGCAACACATCTGCGGAAGATGCTGCGCTTACTGAAACCGTATCACGTTATCTTAATGCTGTTGATTCTCAAGGAAATCCCCAGCCAATACCATGGAATAAAGTTTCTAAACAAATTCCACAAAGAACTGGAGCCCAATGTCAAGCACGCTGGACAGAAGCATTAGATCCTCGTATTAAAAAAGGAAAGTGGTCTCCCAGTGAAGATAGTATACTGAAAGAAGGTGTAAAAATTTATGGTCGTTGTTGGATCCGGATCGCGGAGATGATTCAAGGTAGAACCCAGGTAACTGAGTATTTCACTATTATTTTAAGATAATTTTTTTTTCTTTTTTCGGTATACTTTTAATACAGTATACTCAATGAACTTTTTTTTTTTCTTTTTTCTTTTCTTTTTAATACCAATATTTAATATATGATCTTTCATACAATCTTTAAATTTAATCTTTAATAATATAATCTTAATTTAATTTTTAATAATATAATCTTAATTTATTATTAACATAATGATTCTTTTAATACCTAAATTTATTTTAATATACTCGAATTTTATTTTAATATTTAATATACCCGAACTTTATTTAATATACCCGAAAAAAATTTTTTTAATATTAAAATTTAATATTAAATTACACGAAATTTTTTTTTTTTTTTAATATTCGACCAACATATATGAATGGTTATATTCGAATTTTCTATATATTCGAATTTCGAATTTTTTTAAATGTTCTAATTTTTTAAATGTTCAAATTTTTTTAAATGTTTTTTTTTTTTTTGTTGTCTCACAGAGGCAATGCCGCACTCGATGGCTTCAAATAAAAAATAAATTATCGAAACTTAAGAGCAACGAAAATAACGTAATTATGACAGTTACTCCGACCGTACAATCTTGTGATATAAATCCCATATTAACCCCGCCAATCACTCCGTCAACTTCAACACAAGTTAAGCTTGTTCAAGGAATTCAAAGTACTGGATCGTTCGGTCCAACAAATATTTCCTTATTCGAAGCCAATGAAAATCCGGTTGCCATGTTTCAAAGTCCGATCACACCGGGTTTTCCTATCAATGTTTCAACGGAAAATTTATTTTCAAATTACATCGTTAACACCAACCAAATCGACAATCAATTTACTTACCATAATTCTCCGGAGACTGCTCTTTGTTTTTATAACGTTTATAATAACAATAACGCGTATTTCAATTTTATTCAACA